TGGTGCCGCATTTTAAAATACGTTCAATAGTAGGTAGTGTGAGTGATAATGATTCTAAAAGGATAGGTTTGCGGTAAGTTTGGTGGTGTGTTGGGAGAGGGGGGACCTTTCTGTCCTTGACTGCGACTGCCCGATGGAAGGTTATAACGGCAACCACAGCTCTCGTGGCCACCCATTGATGAACTTTATAATTTGCGAGGGAGTGGCGTCACTGGAGGGCCGAATTTGCGGGCGTAGTCAGCAGTGAGTAGAACAAAGGTTACGACGGAGGGATAATATTAGAGGTTCGGACGCTGAGGGCCGAATGTTGTACCTGGTTAATTACTGGTCTAAGTACATTGGCGCTGAAACTGAGAATCACATCGCTGCATGTCTCTGCCGAGATCTCGGTGGAAGAGCAAAATTTTCTTATTTTAGAACGATGCTAAGGATGGCAGAACCATAAAATTTCAAATAACTTCATGTTGCGGCGAAAGCTTACCTCGTTTATTCCTTAAACGCGAGGTTTTCGATAGATAGAGAGCTGGCTTAACACAGTATGAAGCTAGAGGAACTGACGTAATCAACTATTAAAGTATATTAACAAGCAGGAAATTGTGGAAAAAACAGTTGTTGTGTGATAGAATAGAAGTTTTATCCGATAATTAAAGGGCTTCTACGTATGTCTTATTCAGCATACATTGGTTGCGATCATAATCTGGTTGCAACTTCAGAATACACTTATGATTAACAATAGAAGTCATTTTGCTTGTGCTAACTATAACTCACATCTCAGTCGGTTTAGTTAGGGGCAGTGTCACTCTTCCAAGGTACAGAAGCTTTCTCTCTGAGAATCTAGACTATTATCTCAACCGCAATCTCGGACGAGGTAGACGATGACACCGAATATGAAAATGAAGAGGATGATGATATATAGAAATTGAGCTCGTTCGACCTAACTGCTAATAACATTAATTAGGAAGGGCATCATATTGATTTGGGCTTCTTCTGTTTCTCTCTTGATACATCGCCGCCCCTTTTCAAGGCGTTTTCAGAACCCAGAGACACCTGAGACCGTGAGCACCTTCTCTCGTCTTAATTTTCTAGCCAATTTCGATTATTAACATACTTATGGTAGAGGAAGTCTCTAATGAAGGGCTAGTAGACTGGACCACTTTCGAAGCGTTAGAACATATCATTAGTCTTTCTTATCCACACCACCCGCCACAGTGAATATGTACATTCGAGCTTGCTGGATGGTGACATCCCAGTTCTCTCCAGTGTTACCCTTTCTACCTACTGATGGCTTTTCTATATAACATCCACTTACAGTATTGGTAAGCGTGACCATCTCTTTGCTGGGATCGACCCGAAGACCCGCCCCTTGCTCCAGTGGGTTACCTATCCAATAAGGCGCATTATCAGTCGGCCCTGACACTTCATTTTCCGTAACCTCGCTAAGAGAGGCTTTCGCATCTGCTTTGATCAGATATGCACGCGGTATCTCGGCTTTCGCCCACTGTAAAATGCGGAAACTTGGCTGAATTTGGAAAAGCATATGCGTTGTCCCAGACGGAATAGGGAAGAAGGCGCCTATGACGGTGTTTGAAGTATCTGCGTCGGTAGTGAACAGCACGACGTATGCAGACGAATAATCTGAGATTCCCCCGTTTAGACGAGACATCGACATGTCCAGCGAGTCCGGCGAGACTTGCGTTGCCGTTTCTAGCGTGAGCCGTGTATCTCGCTGATTAAAGCTTGTAATACCAGCACTATTAATGTCGATAGGAGGCACAAATAATGAGACGATTCCGCCGATATTATTCAGTCCAATTTCGTTGACTTGTAGCTTCGTCATATCAATAGCGTCCGAAGGTTGAAACAAGACCGCCCATAGCTGCTGGAACCTCCATAAGAGATTAGGCTGGGGAATATTAGTATGCAGTCTCTTTTCTTGGTAACTTCACATGCTTACTATCAGGTCAATGGCTTCGGTAAGTTGTTGAAAGGTAATCATCTGACCGCTGTCGTCCCCTGTCAAAGCATCGACCAAGCTCTCAGTCAAATCTTCCTCTCTAGGTTCGGCTTCCACAAGATTACCGAAGTGACAACGCGTGCCCCATCTCCTTTCTTCTAGTCTCAAACGTAGTAATAAACGTATCAATGCTGATAAGTCTTCCCGTCTCACCATCTGTCCTTCCGCCAAGGGAGGCCCTTCGGCGAATAGCTTCCGTGCAACTGACTCTAGTTGTGGCTCTGAAGGAATCGCATGCATGAATTGAGGGCCAATCATGACTAAAACATCCATAGTATCACTCAAGCTAGAGGTCACATCGACTGTCTGTTGCTTTGGTGACTTGTGGTCGGGCACCGCGATGCTCCTGAAGATGCGGGCGAAGCTGGCCCTGCGGAAAAAGGCTGCATCCTGGCGCCAGTACCAGTCCAGTTCGCGCGTGCCAAGCAATTCGTCACATTGGGACACGGTTAACAGGGTCGCACGTACGAATGCGTCAAAATCAACCTTTGCATGCTGGTCGAGATCAAGGGGGAATGGATGATAGGCGTAGAAATAGAAACTCTTCCAGAGGAGCGCAATTGTGGCGTCGGAGATTGTGCCTACGGAATGTGTACCTCGAATATGGCTAAAGAAGCTTTCTTCGGTCCAATCTGTGTTCATTATGAGCAAGGGTAAGTGTTGGTAGAATGAGGTGTGATTACATTTTTGACGCGATGATGAGTCCTCGATACAGTGCTTGTCGAACGTTGTTTGTAGAGTTCCTCGCCCCTTTATTTGCGGCGTAAGTACCTTCCTAAGGTCGCCTAACACGGAGTCTATTATTCTCAAGTTAGACAGGTAGGAAGACTTTCAGTTATTAAGCAGCTCGTTATCTACCGCGAGTGGATCTGCTGAGATATTGCTTCACTTCTCGATTCTGGGGGCCCAGAGCGATATCGTTTATGATGTTCACCAACGGTGAGAACATGGCTCATATAGACATGTGAATGAGCGATATGTGAGGTCAAGTCGTTGAAATACGGAATAGAGAAGTTAAGAGGTTTGTAAGAAGGAAGAAAGTGAGCCATGGAATGATGGTGGGGTGGGAGAGTCCAAATCTACCTAGATTAGGTATTTAGTCAATAAGCGCGCTATACCACGTCATGTGGATCCTTAGACGACTATAAAGCGCCAGATGTTGTTCGCCGCAAGTTTGTAAAGAAGATATCAAAGCTATGAAATATATAAGAAATTAAAAGTCTCATGGTGTTACCTTACGCAATGATTGTTGTGTCTTCTAATATGTAGCATAATTAGCGATTAGCCTCTGAGACGTCCGGATTCGGTAGTATAGGATTAAATTACAGCATGCTAACTAGAAGGTAAATTAAACTTATAGGAAGATTCTATAGCTTACAAGACAGGTATAACATACAGTTAGGCTCTTCGCTCATCTTTTCCTCGCTATCATTATTGACCTCTAGGTCCCTCTTGTCTTTGGTCTTAATATTGTTAACAGCTACGACCATGAACGCCGGTGATTTCTCAATACTGCGTCTGGATCTCTCCAGTTATGGCTATTTGGTCCTGCCATTGGACTTTACGCAATAACTATCGCGAACCCGAGGCGCCAGGCACGAGCCTCTGGCCTTATGCAATAATAACAGTAAATGTTGAGACCCTAGTAGTGAGAACTGCGACGAAGTCCGTTGTGTGTCTTGAGGGTTAGTATCTTTTCTCTTTCCTCAATGTTCTCGAAGACGAGACTTTTGGTAAAGGGCTGAGTTGTTATGAGACTTGAGATATTTTGTGTGGGAATATCGGTTATCGAAGTTCTGGCCTGATTATACCACTTACAGCCAAAGGTCGTGATATTATGAAATATAGGTCAGATCAATTTGATCAGCAGTTTGGGCTAAATTAAGCCTACATAACTAAATATATTGGCGATGCATTCGTCGCCGTGCTGTTCACTCCCGAAATGGAACTGAGACTCACAGCAAAGTTCTCAAAAACCTCAGTTTCCCACAATCCAAAATACTTTCATTTTGTCTTACGGTATATCTATCACTAACTTTAAGTCAGATTGTGGACGACTATCCCGGAGTTAAAGCTACAGCAATAAACCCCGACATTGTCAAAAATAGAATGTAGAGAAGTCTAGCGCTTGACATGTCTGCAGCTATTAAGACCATGACAAGATACCATCATCTTAGGTTTTGCTCAGGTGGCAATATGGGACATCGGGTTTATGAAAGTTAAACTTACGAGTTGACCGAGTGGGACCAGAACTTGGCGGCCGAACTGGTCCAAACCATGACGCCCAAAGTTAGCTTGTCATGGCTGGTCCCGGACGATCCGGCCTCATTACGGCAGAAGATCCCGTTGTTGCTAGATGAATAGGCCACCTGAAATTTGGCGTCATATCGTCAAGATAAGCGCATGTGTATCGGTTGTTGCGATGGAAAGTAAACTCTAGAGACTCGTTCACTTGTAGTAGTTGTGCCAAAGAATCGACATTGCTGTTTTTCCATATTAGCACAGCAAGATATTGCCGTATTCGCTTACCGTAATATGCGTTGAATCCATTTTAAATACGCAGCGCGTAGGTCCTTCCAAAAACAAAATCAACCCTTATTGGAAGAATAGCTGTATAACGGTATGAAACGTTGCACTAACCCTCAACAAACCTCGGCTCGTCCATGAGGTGTGCTTGAGCTGATAAGTTAGCGCCACTGTGCGTGGAACAAAAGAAAGGGGGAATGGCCTTGAAATTGCCTGCGATTTACAAGTGTATTGATGACATCCAGGAACTCAGTTAACTTTTGAATGCGTTTAGAATAAGGTTGGATAAATGACCTACTTACAAATTCGTTGTCGCGTAAAACCTGAATACTCACTTTGCACTGTACTTGTCGGCCCGAAGTAATCTACTAGTCCTCCTGAACTCTAAGGTTAGAGAAAGATACACATAAAAAAAAGAATAGGCTGCTATCCTCAGTGAACTGAGGAGCATCAGGGATTGAGCCCGATGCGGGGGTCGAACCTGATCCAGGCTGTTAGTAGATTGTCGAACTGAATGTTGGACTGTAACTTACCCGCAACCTTGAGATTAAGAGTCTCACGCTCTACCGATTGAGCTAACCGGGCGTTGTGATGGGTGTTTTTGCTAAAATTTTGGTTTCTTATACCACTGATTCAGCCAAGCCGATGATTCGGTTTGTTGGTGGATGTGCGGTGCCGAGTTCTCGCTTATTCTATGTTCCGCTGGGATAGGGCCTGTATTGGGTTCGGATAACTACCAATTAAGTCAGCCGGGCGGATGTTGTAGTATTACATAATGGGAGCAGGGGTGCAAAGGGAAATTCTTCACGGATCCGGTACGTTAATTCAGATCCAAATGTTAGTGTTAGGATACTGTGTTACTAAGGTAGGTATGTATTGATCTTATACATATTGTACACTCTGGATGGCGATGGTGCATATTACGTAACTACCATGCGCAGTGGGATGATCTGAAGCGATGTAAATGATAGACGCTAGGCTTGTTTGAATGCCACGTTCCAGGCAACCCATGTGTAAGCCGTCCATCGAGCTTCTGCTTTTGATAAAAATGTTTCTTGGCTGTTTTGGAAACAATCCTGTCGCGAGATTCCGCCATGGTGTTTGAGCCTTAATAAAATAATTGCGCCGTAACGCCGGGGATCCCGGGGGCCTGAGATGAGGATCATGTCACACAAGTCGTCATTCAAAAGGAGTCAGCATCGCGCGCCAAAGAACCTGCTGATAACCCAGCAGCTCCCTCACCTTGGCGACAGCAATTTCTCATACGGAAAAAGGTCATCATCATAATCACTATGGTTGGCGTAGTCTCACTCACACTTGGGCTCGGGCTCGGCATCGGTCTTACACGGGCCTGCCCGGCTCCGAAGTCATCAACTTCAACCCGGAGCCCCTCTAGCCAAGCCGCTGCCGTTATCCAGCCCACTGTCGGCACCACCTGGGACTACCCCCTAGGATTTTCCCTGACGACTGCCAACGCAAACAAGAGCACCGTATTCTATCCCGTGGATCTTGAAAACACATCGGCGGATACCATCGGGGCACTCAAGAGCGCTGGACACACTATCGTCTGCTATTTCAGCGCCGGCAGTGTAGAGGATTACCGCGAGGACGCGGGCGAGTTCCCGGCGTCGGCCATCGGCAACGCGCTCGATGGCTGGCCGGACGAGAAGTGGGTGGACCACCGCAATGCCAAAGTTCGTGAGATTATGGCAACACGCATCCAGAGCGCCTCGGACAAGGGCTGTGTGGGCGTCGACCCTGACAACATTGACGGATACACGAACAATTCCGGTTTTGACCTCACAGAGGACGACACGGTGGACTACGTGCAATATCTGGCCGAGACGGCGCATGCGGCGGGGCTTGCCTACGGCCTGAAGAACTCGGGGGCTATCGTCGACCGTGTCGTCGATGTTGCTGAGTGGGCTATCAACGAGCAGTGCGCAGAATACAAAGAATGCGCTGACTGGGCTCCTTTCGTGAAGGCCGGCAAGCCCGTCTTCCACGTCGAGTACACCGAGGATGACGATGCGACTGGCGTCAGCGCCTCCAAAATGGCTGAGGCATGCGCTGCCGATGGCCAGTCTGGTTTCTCGACTATTGTGAAGCACATTACGCTTGATAACTGGATTGTTTACTGCTAAGTGTACTTGGTTGCGATGCTGGTGATATCGGCCTCGTCGTGCGCGTCCTATTTATTCTCCGACTTGTATATATAACTTTACTTTGTAGCTACTTTGTGTCTTATACCTGTACATATAAAGATAAGCTTTCTTCAATTGGAAATGGGGTTTCATGATATCGCATCGTCGTCAATAAGTGTTATTAGCTCTAGCAGCCTAATTAGCATCTCGGTAATTTTTATTTGCAAGTCAGAAAAAAGTCGACGTAAAGCAAGGTTAGCTGGCACCTTGAAAGGGCCAGCTACGGTCACCATAAGTTCGTCATATTATCTGGGATAGAGTAAACTGCATGTGAATAAGCCGGTTTGTTCAAGGTCATAAATCGCTAGAAACCTGCTTACATAGGTTAGTACCTAGGTTATCCATATGTACCTAAGGTATTTTCAACTAGGTATCGATAGATAAGCCTGGGCCGAGTACGTACCTTATCGGTGGAGGTGGAGCCCGGAGCTTTAGAGCTTGGATCCAAAATTTTCAATTCGGGGCTTCAGATTTCAACTTCGCTCGTTTTGTATTGCAACAGCGAGAGACCGTTCCCACCGTGTCCTGGGCGCAAATACGGGCTTGTTGCCGCTGATACGAATTGCCCACACCAATTGCGCTTGTCTCGACTCGCTCGCACATCTACACATCGACACACACATCAACCTATCCTGATTGACACTAGCCGCAATCATGCCGCACATCGACTATCTTCTACACGAGGTTAGCACTTTGAAGTCCCTTGTGCATTGTTTCTGCGAGTCCCAGACGGGAACGGGAGGGAATTGTATCGTGGCGGAATCCAGCTAACCCCTGATCTCCGAATCAGTCCGCGACCGGATACGCCCTCTTCAAAGTGGTCCACCAGCAAGATGACATCGCATTGCGCATGGAGGAGGTGAAGAAGGCTGCCGAGGACCTGTCCAAGCTCGGCAAGATGCTGAGTCTCACCTCCTATGCTGTCTGGAGATCCGCCGCCGAAGCGCTCGAAAACATCCATTCCATCTCGGAAGGATTGATGACCGATTATCTCAAGTCCACCATCGAGCTCAACATCCCCGCCTCAAAGAAGAGCAAGATTGTTCTGGGTGTCGCCGATAAGAATCTTGCGGGAAATATCAAGGCTGCTTTTCCGGGCATTGAGGCCGAGACGAGCGATACGTCGGAGGCTGTTGCGTATCTGCTTCGTGGCATTCGTTTACACGCGTCTAAGCTGTTTAAGGACCTGAAGGAGGGAGACGAGGAGAAGGCCCAGTTGGGTCTTGGTCACGCTTGTAGGTGTTTCATGCCTCAGGCGCATCAATCGCATCCTGCTGACAGTGCCTGCCAGACTCTCGTAGCAAGGTCAAGTTCAATGTGCACCGTAATGATAATCATAGTGAGTTGCCCACGATGACGTCCCCCCGGCCACAGTTGAGAACCCATAGGAGGCTCGAGCATCTTCACTGAACAATCAAAACTAACAACTTTCCTAACTCTAGTCATCCGCTCTATCGCCACGTATGTATTTATTCCAGAGACGCTTTCTAACTAGATCATCATTAACATTGATCGGATAGCTTGGACAATCTTGATAAGGTAAGCATTTAAATCCAATTTGGCGTTTCACAGTAGGGATTTTTGAGTAAAATCATTCTTATTTGAATACCTTGGAATTCACCCGCTATGATTTTTAAATCGTGATATAAATGACAATTACTAACTCATCGTTTAGGGCATCAATCTTTTCTCCCAGAAGCTGTGAGTATTATGAAGATTCATTTTGAAATTGGGGAGTAAACCTCTGCCAAAGGACTCTGAGCATAAGACCTCCCATCTGTCAGATATATCGCTCTAATGAGGATGTCACTAATTTTTTGTTGTAAAGTCGTGAATGGTACAGCTGGCATTTCCCAGAATTGGTAAGCAGCCTTGATCCCCCTGCCACGAAGTACACTAATCCTGGATGCCGTAGTATGCGATTTGTTCCGACAATCTCACGTACGCCAAGGTTGCGCGCTTTGTTGGAGATAAGAGTACTTTAGGCGACGACAAGCTTCACGAGCTGGCTGGACTCATAGGTGATGATGAAGAGAAGGCTGCCGAGGTTATCCTTAAGGCGAAAATGTCTATGGGAAGAGAATTAAGCGAGGTTGACCTTGAAAATGTCCTCACATTTGCCGAAAAGGTCCAAAGCTTGGCAGGTAAGACTCGCATTTGAGTGATATTTTGCTTGCGAATGCTGACGGTCTGTTCCATTACAGAATACAGGAGAACCTTGTACTCCTATTTGACTGATAAGATGAGTACTGTAGCGCCAAATCTTGCTACCCTAAGTGAGTAGCCCTCAGAGTCTTTTATTCACATTTTAGTCGAGACGGCCTCGCAATATAAGACGATGCCATCCGCGCAACTCTCACTGACCACTGCTGACTCTTGCTGGAACAGTTGGTGACGTGGTTGCTGCGCGTTTGATCCAGAAAGCCGGCTCCCTCACAAACCTATCAAAGTATCCTGCCTCAACCTTGCAAATCCTAGGTGCAGAGAAAGCTCTGTTTAGGGCTCTTAAGACTAAGAGGTTGGTGTCCTTCGCCCCCCCCTTCATTATTATGTGATTCATCATGGGCTGGATGTCTCAGTTAAAATCACTTTGCTCCCGTTGCTTCCCCTACTTCTCTAGCATTGGGCTTCCTATCTAGAATCCAATTACTGGCTGCTAACCCTGGGTGTTTATAGTAATACCCCTAAGTATGGACTCATTTTCCATAGTAGCTTCATTGGAAGAGCAGCGCAAAAAGACAAGGGCCGCGTGAGTAGATATCTTGCAAACAAGTGCAGTATCGCGTAAGTCGTCATCCACACATTCAACTCGGTATCGATTCCGAGTCGGAAGCAATTTCTAATAAGTTCCGACGCAGTGCTCGTATCGACAATTTCTCCGAGGAACCTTCGAAGAAATTTGGTGAGGTTTTGCGAGGCCAGGTTGAAGACAGGCTAGAGTTTTATGCCACAGGCAAGAAGCCTATTAAGAACTCCGATGCTATGGTGAGTTTACTAGTAATTATCGCTGTGTCACACTACTAACACACGAATAGGATAAGGCTGTAGCAGATTTGTTAGCCGAGGGCGAGAGCATGGCCATCGATACCGAGATGATTGATGCCCCAATCCCCACTGCTACACCTAAAAAGGAGAAGAAGTCAAAGGACAAGAAAGATAAGGAGGAGAAGAAAGAGAAAAAGGACAAGAAGCGCAGACATAGCGAGGTTAAAGGTACCACAGACCCTGATACCGAGGTCGACGGCGAGAAGAAGAAGAAAAAGAAGAAGAGACACTCGGAGGCATGATGAGTTAAACCCTTGTCAGATCTTTCTCGGGCGTAATGTCTCACGCATGGGTATGGGCGTTCTGGATCGGACTGTTATTTCTCGCTGGTGTCTG